AATTGCTGCCTCGACAGTTTTTAGGCCTTGGCTAGTGGCTGGTTTGTCACCTTCTTAAGCATCTGATTAAGAACCAGTCCCTTTATCAGGATCTGGCACTACTGGGCCAATATACACCTGTCCTGATTACTCCAGCACTAAGAAAACAACAACTAGGTATAGCCTCTGGGCCCCTCGGGCTTGCTCAGTTATTCAGAATGCCCAATGTCCTGGAAGCCCACAAAAGCTAGCTTACATCACTCTGTTTGCCATACATAAGTCATCTCTTACCATTCCAGCTTGTCGTAATCTTGTCCCTACGTGCAACCCTGGTGTGACCCTACATCATGGCATGCTGTGTCCCTCTGACTCTAGGAACTGTGAGCATAACAAACGTTGTTACTTTCCATGGACTTCTTGATTCTTCTTTCCTGTCTCTCACCTGACTTGTCATCCTATGACTCTGTTAGAACAGTATAGGGAATACAGTGGAGAGCAAGAAAGGTATAACATCTATCCTCATAGAGCTAACTTTCATGTGGTATATGTGTATGGCATGAAGAATTTGACAGGAAGGAAGACAAGTGGAAATAATTTACAAAATAAATCCATTATAATTGTGCTAAGTTCTACAAAGGAGAAATAATCACACTAAAAACTCATGCCGTCTTGTTGGATCTGACTCATAGTGACCCCTACCTGGGTTTCTGAGGCAGTATCATCACAGAAATAGATTGCCCAATCTTCCTTCCAAGGATTGGCTAGTGGGTTTAAACTGCCAGCCTTCCGGTTAGCAGTTAGCCTTTGGCACTACACCAAATACAGGGTGCTATAAGAACTTGTAACTAGAGGTCCTAACCCTATGGTGGTTGTGGTAGTGGTAGTGGTAGAGAGACGGTTAGGGAAAAGTTTCTTAACTATGACTAGTAACATTTAAGCTGAGTTTTGAAGAAGGAGTAGGTATTAACTTGACAGAATAAGATTGGGGATAAGCGATGGGAGGTAGGAAGGATTGGAAAGAAAACTTCATGTAATGGGAAATAACATACAGTAAGGCCCTGAGATGGGAAAGGGAGCTCTGGTGGCATGGTGCATAAGGCATTGAACTGCTAAGTAGAAGGCTGGTGGTTCAAACACACCAGCCACTCCTTGGAAGGAAGATTGGGCAATCTACTTCTGTAGAGATACTGCCTTGGAAACCCAAGGAGGGGTCACTCAACTAGATGGCAGTGAGGTTTTTCTTTTCTTTTTTTTGAGATGGGAAAGAGCAAGGGATATTAGAGAAATTGAGAGAAGACTAATGTGGCTGAGGTAAGAGAGCAACAGAGATGCTGTGAAGTAGGCCGGCTATTGTGGCAAAAGAGCAGATCTGATAGACCAAGGATCTTATAGATCAAATTAAATATTATCTGCTAAAGTTAATGGGAAGCTATATTAGAATTTTAATTAATTAAGTGACATGATTAAATATACATTTTAGTAAGATTCTCTGTCCACTGATGAGAATAGAGGAGCCCTGGAGTAAATGTACAAACATTGTTTAGAAAGCTATTATTGTAGGTCATGTGAGAGATGGGGACTTAATTTGTAGTGGAGATTGAGGGAGTTGGGTTGTTAGGAAAAAAGTTCTGCATTCAGGATAGAAAGATTATTTTCCAAAAATCAAAGAAGCAGCAGAGATAATTAGTTGAGTGAGTTCAGCTGAATGTGTGTGTAGGTGTTCCCCACTCCTAGCCATTCAATACAAGTCTGGCTGAACACTAGGCACAAGAACAGGATAGTTCTGGAAGAGCTATATGTAAATGGAATTTGTTTACCATTGGAGTGATTTTAAAGTTGCAAGGGTATTTTGTATTTTAACTCCATTTTTAGCCTCTCAGTTTTCTTGATTAGCTTCTCTCCCAGTTGTAGTACATGCTTACCATCATGTTGTTATTGTTGTTATGTGCCGTCGAGTTGGACCCAACTCATAGCGACCTCTCCTTGAGTTGCCAAGGCGGTATCACTACAGAAGTAGATTCCCCATCTTCCTTCGGAGGAGTGGCTGGTGGGTTTGAACCACCAGCCTTCTAGTTAGCAGTCAAGTGCCTTAGGCACTATGCTACCAGAGCTCCCTATCATCATGTAGGAACCTGTATAATTGTATGAATCTGAAGAAATAGGCCTCATATCACCAATCCTACAACCACAGTCCACTTGGGACATGTGTGTCCCACATAATTAAATCAAAATCCATATTTCATAAAAAATTTTCCCCTTGATTTAAGCATGCCTTCCATTACTGAAAGCATATGGCATCAATAAAATAGTTAAGGCAGAAAATCATTTGGTCATGAAAGGGTTGAAGTCACCTGGTGTTGAGTTACTTGGTCCAGCACTAGATACTTAGTAAATGTATGATTATCTCTAAATATGTCTATACTGTATTTCAGATTTTCTTGTACTGGATTTTATTTTTTTAATTTTTATTGTGATTTGCGTGAAAATTTACAGAGCAAATTCATGTTCCATAGAACAGTTCACATACACTTTGTCTCATGACATTGACTGCAGTTTTGCACAATGCAACAGCTCTTTTCCCACTTCCTCCCCATAGTTACCTCTTCCATGTGTCCTTCCCTTTCACACACTCCTGCTTCCTGAGCTGTCTCCCTGTGCATACACAGCCCTTCTATTCTCCCATAATTGATCTCTCCAAGGAGTGTATCTACCTAATGTAAATGTAAATGTTCAGCTCATATGCCTGTCTTTTGTTTGGCTGGAAGCCAAAGGAGTGGGTTCAATTCCAGACCTGAAGGGCAGCTAGGGGCCATAGTCTCAGGTCCATCAGGCTCTATCAGACCAGCAAATCTGGTCCCTTTTCCTTTTTTTTTTTTTTTTTTAATGATTTTGGGTTTTGTTCCACACTGTTCTCCCACTCTATCCAGGACCTGCTACATAGATCCCCCTCTGAGTGGTTGACGATGGTAGTTGGGCACCATCTAATTCTTCTGGTGTCATAGTCATATAGGCTGAGGATTGAATTGTGTACCAGTGCCTTGGACTAATTGTTTCCATCATCTTTGGTGTTCTTCATTCTTCTTTGCTCTGGATGAGGAGAGACCCATTGTTGCATCTAGATGGCTACTTGCAAGCTTTTAAGATCCCGGTCGCTATTCACCAAAATAGGATGTGGAACAATGATTTTGTGTAATATGTTATACTATTGAGCTTGATGTCCCCTGTGACCATGGTCCCAAGTCCACAGGTCCAACTACTTGCTCCCTCTGGGTAGCTGGCTGTAGCCAAGAAGTGATTACAACCTTGTCCCTTGTCAGCTCTACTATATTTCTTGCACTGGATTTTTAAAACATGAATCTAAATTTAGTTGGGTACTTGTGAATGTCATGGCGTAATATTCTGATAACCTGATACAGAGCTAGCTTTTGAGACACACCTTAAGGAAGAGAGCAAGAAATAATTGGTTACAGACATATTGAGAAAAATCATTTTGTGTTGGATAAGCCTGGGGAAGCTCATATACTCTATCCTCCTCTTGAAGATTTGCAGTGCCCACAAAGATCATTAGAACTGAAAGAACAAGCTGAACTTATTACTTGCCAGGTAAAGGAGAGCGGCACTGTTGAAATGGGAGTATAGTTCTCAGAAGTCTTTTTGAGTCCGTAGGAGAATGGTTAGATCTAAGAGGAGAAGAGATTTTGCCCAAATCAGGCAGGATTCTGAAGGCCATTATTTGATTGGTTAAGGAGAGGATTGCAAGATCGATCTCCTTTTGGAATAGCCATTTTTCTGGTTTGCATCAGTAATTATGTGAACAATTTTTAATGAAGTACAAGATGGGTTGCATAACAAGCTCTGTTGGGTTCAAGGTCATATAACCAACACTTTTATATTTCTTTAGTCAGGGTTCTCTAGAGAAACATAACCAGTGGTGTATAAAATGTAAGTATAAATATAAGTAAAGTTGAGAGAGAGAGATTGAGAGATTGTGGGGGACTGGTAAGTAAAAGATCCATAGGTCAGGCTACAGGCTGGAGACTGTTGTAGTCTTGTTCCCCAAAATTTGTAGGTTAGGTGACAAGAAGAGTGAAGAGTAAGAGGGTTCTGGAAAAAAAAATGTCTATTTATAGCCTGGGGGCAGAACACACCTTGGGAAACTCCATTTTTACTCTTAAGGTCTTCAGCTGAATGACTGAGGGCAACTCGCATTATGGAAGGTAGTCTGCTTTACTTACGGCTGACTGATTTAGACTAATGTTTTACCAAACAAAAGTTTACACATAAAATTAACCATCACACATATGCATACGCATGAGATTTGGAAAATTTTTTGTTTAACATAGCTTTAAACGTTCTTGAGAAGTTCTATGTTCTATGCTGAACCTTGTCTATGTTTGCACAGACCCTGTTTTTAATAACTAATATCCTGTGGAAGAAGTCATGAAAACATTATTTAAGAGTGTACATTTTCAGGAACAAATTACCTCAAGAATTCAATGTTAACCCAAGATTTGGTTCACATCTATCTATGAGCTCAACCTTGTCATTCAAGTTATTGATAATAGAAAAATAATTAATATCTTGGGATCTGAGTAGGTGATTGTTAGTTATATTGTTCAGATGGGTCCTTGTATGCTTCCTTAGTCCATTGGAGAAAAGTGGACTAAATATATTTTGGAAAGACACTTGGACTGTAGAAACCAAAAAAATAGTAGGGTGAAATATAAAGTCTCAAGCTCTGTTATGATTCTGTGGCTAGGGCGCCTGTTCTTCCTTTTCCTTTGGGCACCGGAGGTGGGTAACACATTTCTTTGTGTCTTTAGTCGTTGGTGTTTCATATTGGTGAAGGAAATCAGATCTAATGCATTGCTCCTTGAATATCTTCTTATAACTCTCATCACTCCTGATGTCAGGTGCTAGAAATATCACCACAGACCTTAGATAGGCTTCTCTAATTCTGGTATTTCCAGCTTCTAGAATTCATTTTCTGGTCAACTTAAAATGCCCCTCAAGCACCATAATTAAAACTTTGGGCTATGTTGTACATTTTTCTTTTGATGACAAGCCTTTGGATAAGCCATTGCCTTCCTTAGGGCTCCTTTCACCTCTTTGTTTCTTATGGTATAAATAAAGGGATTCAAAAGAGGTGTGAGGATAGTATTTAGCACAGATACCACCTTATTAATCTTAAAAGAGGAATGTGTTGTTGGTCTCAGGTACATGAACAGGACAGCTCCATAGAGCAGGGAGACAACAGTCAGGTGAGAGGCACAGGTAGAGAAAGCCTTCTGGCGGCCAGCGGCTGAAGGAATCTGTAGGATGGTGGACAGGATGTAGATGTAAGAAATTACTGTAAAAAGGAGTGACCCTGGGATCACCAAGATGGTTGCCAGAAGACCCAGTAGCTCCAAAAGGGTGGTATCAGTACAGGCTGCTTTCAAGATGGGACCAACATCACAGTAGAAATGATTGATGATGTTATTGCCACAGAAGGGCAGCTGGATGAGCAGTAGCATCTGACAAAAAACAGTGGTGAAACCTGCCACCCAGGAGCTGAGGGCTAGCTTCAGGCAGAGGTTACTGGTCATGATGGTGGGGTAATGAAGGGGCTTGCAGATGGCCATGTAGCGGTCGAAAGACATAACAGTGAGAATGAGGAACTCAGTGGTGCCCAGGAAGAAGTGGAAGAAGGCCTGCAGCAGGCAGCAGGGAATGCAAATGATTGTTCTTGCCACCACAAAGGTTTCTAGCAGCTTGGGGATGATGGTGGTGGTGTACCAGATCTCAAGGAAGGACAAATTGCAAAGGAAGAAATACATTGGGATTTGTAGCTTGGGTTCAGCACAGACAATGCCAATAATGAGCCCGTTGCCTGCCAGGGTTAATATGTATATGAGAAAGATCATTATAAAGAGAGGGATTTGTAGTCCTTGGATCCCAGGAAAGCCTAGGAGAATGAACGCTGTGATTGCTGTGCCATTTCTCATGTCCCTTGATATTCTATAAAAACAGAAAGGAAAGGAGTTCCTCAGAACTTGAGTACACTTGAATATAATTTGGCTACAAAAAGGGAGGATTCTGAGCCCTTCAGGACTCCCACCCACACATACACATACACACACATCACCCCTTTCTTACTGATGATTTGGCTTTCTCTGGGTTTGTCAGCTAAACTAGCTTTTAATGGACTTTGAAAGTATTAAGTACCTTTGAATAGTGAATAATGGAACAGTATTCTTTTTACCTTTATACAGCTGCCAAAAAAAAAAAAAAAAAAGCATTTTATATGCAGTGGCTTATCTGTCAATAAGCCATATGATTATTTGAAATGGACAGTTTCATATAATGGCATATGTCCATAAACACAGCAGTGAGTTCATAAGAAGTTAACCTCCACTCCCATATAATATTCCGAAAGAGAATTCTTGACTTTTATATTATAGATATGTTTAACAAAGCTGGTTATAACATATATGCATTTCTTATAACTAAAAACAATTACCATTATATTAGGAAGAGATACAACTTAGATAATAGAATTGCTTACTATTTTTGGTAAGAATCCACTTCCAAATTCTACTTCAGACACACTTTTTCAAAGGAGGCCCCAAAATCAAAATTAAATGGCTAAGAGTACTTAGTAAGTAGGAAAATGTAATACATTTTAATTCAGAATTCCAAGATCAGCTGAATCAGGTCCTGGTAATAAGTACCAGTTGTCAGAACATTGACTCTGACTCATGGTAACCCCATGAGTGTCAGAGTAAACTGTGCTCTGTAGGCTGATCAGTGGCTGATATTTTGGAAGTAGATCACCAGGCCTTTCTTCTGAGGGTCCTCTGGGCGGACACAAGATTCCAACTTTGGGTTAGTAGCTGAGTGTTAACCATTTACATCACCTAGGGACTCCTCTGGTGAGTAAAAAAACTCAAAAAAACTATAGTCATTGAGTTGATTCCAACACATAGTGACCTCTATAGGGTCTCTAAGGCTGTAAATCTATTCATAAGTGGATTGCCTTATCTTTCCTTGGTTGAGCAACTGGTGGGTTCGATCTGCCAACCTTCTGGTTAGCAGCCGAATACCCTAACAAAATACCACCAGAGCTCCCTCTGGTATATAGAAAGTACCTAATAAAGGATTGTTGAATATAGAACTGCAGATGTTAATCTAAAAAAAGTGAAAAGGATAGCAAATGCTGTTGTTGTGTTTGTTAGGTGCTGTTGAGTCATCTCCAGACTCATAGTGACCCTATGCACAGCAGAATGAAACACTGACCAGTCCTGGGCCAGCCTCACGATCCTTGCTATACCTGAGCCCATTGTTACGGCCACTGTGTCAGTCTACCTTGGTGAGGGCCTTCCCCTTCTTCATTGACCCTCCACTTTACCAAGCATGATATCCTTCTCCAGCGAACAGTTCCTTCTGACAACATGACCAAAGAGGTGAGATGAAGTCTGGCCATTCTCACTTCCTAGGAGGATTCCAGCTTTACTTCTTCCAGGACAGATTTGTTAGTCCTTCTAGCAGACCATGGTCCTCTTTAGCATTCTTCTCCAACACCACAACTCAAAAGCATCAACTCGTCTTGTCTTCCTTATTCACTGCCCAGCTCTCACCTGCATATGAAGCTACTGAAAATACCCAAGCCACATCTTAGACTTCAAGGAAACATCTTTGCTCTTCATCACTTGAAAGAGGTCTTTTGCAGCATATTGGCCCAATGCAATATGTCGTCTGATGTCTTGACTGCTGCTTCCATTGACATTGATTGTAGAACCAAACAATATGAAATCCTTGTCAACTTCAATCTTTCCTCCATTTATTGTGAAGCTGTTTATTTGTCCAGTTGTAAGGATTTTTGTTTTCTTCATAATTAGGTGTAATCCATACCGGAGATGGTAGTCTTTAATCCTCATCATTAAGTGCTTCAAGTCATCCTCACTTTCAGAAGCAAAGTTGTGTTATCTGCATATTGTGGGTTGTTAATGGGTCTTCCTCCAGTCTTGATGCCATGTTCTTCTTCATATAATCCAGCTTCTTGGATTGTTTGCTCAGCATACAAGTTGAATAAGTATGGTGAAAGGATACAACATTTATGCACTCCCTTCTTGATTTTGAACCGTACAGTATCCCCTTGTTCTGTTCGACTGACAGCCAGGAGGTCTATATACAGGTTCCTCATGAGTACAATCAAGTACTCTGGAATTCCCATTTTCCTCAATGCTATCCATAATTTGTTGTGATCCACACAATCAAATGCTTTAGCATAGTCAATAAAACATTAGTAACATCTTTCTGGTATTCTTTGCTTTCAGCTAAGATCCATCTGACATCAGCAATGATATTCCTCATTCTGCATCATCTTCTGAATCCAGCTTGCATTTCTGGAAGTTTTCTGTCAACCATTTTAGAACTATTTTCAGTAAGATCTTACTTGCATGTGATATCAATGATATTGTTTGATAATTTCCACATTCTGTTGGATTACCTTTCTTTGTTGTTGTGTTGTTGTTATGTGCCATCGAGTCAAACCCGACTCATAGTGACCCCTCCTTGGGTTTCTGAGGCAGTATCACTACAGAAGTAAGATTGCCCAACCTTCCTTTGGAATGGGTACAAATATGGATCTCTTCCAGTCAGTTGGCCAGGTAGCTGTCTTCCAAATCTCTTGGCATAGCTGAATGAGTGTCTCTAGCAGGGCATCTGTTTGTTGAGACATCTCAATGGGTATTCCAACAATTCCTGGAGCCTTGTTTTTTGCCAAGTCCTTCAGTGCAGCTTCGACTTCTTCCTTCAATACCATTGGTTCTTGATCATATGACACCTCCTGAAATGGATGAAGATTGACCAGTTCTTTTTGGTACAGTGACTCTGTATATTCCTTACTTCTTCTTTTGATGTTTCCTGCATCATTCAATATTTTGCCCATAGAATCTTTCAGTATGGCTTAATTTTTTTCCTCAGTTCTTTAAGCTTGAGAAATGCTGAGTGTGTTCTTCTCTTTGCACATTTCATTATAGTAATTGGCTTTGTCTGCTCTTTTATGTTGTCATTTCTTCCATTTGCTTTAGCTACTTCTGGTCAAGGGCAAGTTGCAGAGTCTCTTCTGACATCCATTTTGGTCTTTTCTTCTTTTCTTGTCTTTTTAATGATCTCTTGCTTTCTTCATGGATGATGTTCTTGATGTCATCCCAAAATTCCTCTGGTTTTTGGTCATTGGTGTTCAATGCATCAAATCTATTCTTTAAATAGTCTCTAAATATTATCAAGGTCACATTTTGGCTCTCATGGACTTGTTTTAATTGCCTTCAAGTTCAACTTGTATGTGCATATGAGCAGTTAATGGTCTGTTACACAATCAGCTTCTGGCCTTGTTTGGCCAAAGATATTGAACTTCTCCATCACCTCTTGCCACAGATGTAGTCAACCTGATTCCTGTGTATTCCATCTGGTGAAGTCCATGTGTGTAGCCATTGCTTATGCTGTTGAAAAAAGGTATCTGCAACAAATAAGCCAGTGGTCTTGCAAAATTCTGTCATGTGATCTCCAGTTTTATTTCTATCACCAAGGCCATATTTCCCAACTACCAGTAACTCTTCTTTGTTTCAAACTTTTGCATTCTAGCCACCAATGATAATCAACACACTTTGTTTGCATGTTCAGTCAATTTCAGACTGCAAAAGTTGGTAAAAATCTTCAATTTCCTCATCTTTGGCTTTGGTGGTTGTGCATAGATTTGAATAATAGTAGTATTAACTGGTCTTCCTTGTAGGTGTATGGATATTACCATATCACTGACAGTGTTGTACTTCAGGACATATCTTGAAACAAGTCTTTATGATGATGAATGCCACAACATTCCTCTTCAATTTGTCATTCCCAGCATAGTAGCTCATATAGTTGTCTGATTCAAAATGACCAAAACCAGTCCATTTCAGCTCACTAATGCTTAGGCTATTGATCTTTATGTATTCCATTTCATTTTTGACAACTTCCAATTTTTCTAGATTCATACTTTGTACATTCCATGTTCCAATTATTAATGGATGTTTGCAAATGTTTAGGATAACAAATTGGAAATTTTGGAAAGTACTTCCTAACAAAACTTTTTTTTTGTGACTTTGTAACTTTTCCTAAAAGTTTCCTACCTACTATTCTACTTGTATATGAAATTCATAGGCTGAGAACTTTCTTTCTATTCTACTAATATTCACTAGAAAATAGTAATACTGTTTTGCTTTTATTGAGAGTATTTTCCCATATGGTTTACCTTTGTTTTGGGTAAAGAGAATTGCTGTGAAATGAACTGCAAAATTTTCAAAGTACGCAGGAAACTTTGCATAAAAGAGACAGCTCATAGTTTGTTGATAGGTTATTTGATTCTTCCCCCATATGAAAAATTACTAATTCTTTGAGTGCTCAGGGAAAAATTACTTCCATTTCCTCCTACCTCTTTTCTAGACCAGGAAAAGATTATTTTTTGTCTATAATGCCATAAGCTCCATGAAACTAGGGAGACAGATAGCATTTGAACTTGTACTAATGACTAATTTAACTGGCCATGAGCTTGGTCCCTCTGTATAGTGTAGATATGGAATTATCTTCATTTTCCACATGGAAAGTGGCAGTTTTTCTAGCCCAATATAAAATTTGCAAGGGCTAAACATCCCACAATTTGGAAAATTCAACCTATTTATTTCACAAGTGTTTATTGAGAGTTTTCCATGTTACAAGTCCTGCTAGGTGCTTAAGGAATTTACAAATAGGGAAAGAGACCATATATAATAATTACAACATACTCTGTAGGTAAAAGTATAAAGTTGTGCACAGATTGTTTTGGGAGCACACAGAAGGGCCGTTTTCCCCAGCCTGGACAGAAGTTAAAGGAAAATTTTTAGAGAAGGAGATGCTAAGCTGAATCTTGTTACCTGCCATAGTGATGGCCCCTGAGGCACAGGGAACCCATGCACAGTGCTGCTGAAACCTATTCAGCATCATAGCC